TATGAAAAACCTTTCTCCTTGCAAAGTGATTTTAATCTATCTAGAATTCAAATAATTTAAGATAAAATTAAGTTATTGTGATAAATAGAAGCAAACCTTATTCTTTACTCCCTCCCGGTGCTTGCAAAGAACATCAGCTAATTCAAGGTCAATTCCTTAACATCTTGACTCCAGATCAGTGTTATCTAGCCTGTTACCTTTAGATAAACCTTAAGTAAATTGATAAGAATCTAGCTTGTCACTCTAGATCTAACCAATTCTATGTGCATCAAAACTTATCTCCCTATTTATTTGCACTCTCGCTTTGGTGATCGCAATGACTCTGCTTAGAATGAAGTGATGTATCCACTAGTTGGGTGAAATCATAACCTTCTAAGGTCATTATGTTTCTCAACAGATTTTAACCTCACAAGTGGCTAGTTTGTAAAGTAAATAAAGGTTAGGTGAAAATACCATCACAATTTTTAAGAGTAAAAAGAAATCTTTAAATCATTCTCATTCCATAAAATTAAGTCCCATATGTAAGAAGAAGAAAGGCAACTACTCAGAATTCATGGAGATTAAACAAAAAGAAAACATTTGAATTGAAATCCAGCCTTACAATAAAAACTCAAACACAAATACAAAATACCTTACGTCTTCTCCCCAAGCAAACTTCTGGAGTTTCTTCTAAGCAATCTCCAAACTTCTTCACACTTAAACACACTCACACTTACACTAGAAAACAAAATATGAAGAACCTAACTCACTATTGTCGCCCAATTGAAGTTTTGAGGCTCGAAAAGGTCTCTAAATTCGGCCAAATCCTTTTCATTAAATAGAAAAAAAGAAAATAAGCAGGGGTTGCTTCAAACACTCCAAAATTTGGCCAAATTTAATGTATCTTTTAGAAAGGTAATTACTAACACTATAACGAGCTTCTCGCTCGACGGTGGCATTATAGCGCCATACAAAAATCACCATTTTTGCTCCATTTTTTCTTCATTTTCTTTAAATGTCTATTCCATGTACCTAAAATCAAAAACATGCAAAACACATTCCTTTAAAGTGCAATATCATAAAAAATGTACATAAAATGCTTATAAAATATGCATTAAAAATATGTTATTTTAAGGTGGATCATCTACTCATGGGTTAATTAAAATATATACTGAGCATAATTTAAAGAAATTAATTTAACTTGGATGATTTAATTAACAGTCTAGCAAGACCAGAATGAACTTAAAGTGATATAGAAGATCCTAAGATTATTTGGAATGCTTTGTGGACATTCTTAGAAGATTTTGGATACTTTAGAGGATCTCTAAGTCTGCTATCATTTGTTGAAAAGATCGTCTTCAAAATATAATGAAATTGACATGAAATTCTTAAGGACCCACCAAGTTATGACTCGGGGCCCGATAATTCACAAATCAGCAAAAATACCCTGTAACTACTTATCCTATATTAATAACCCAATGCTCAAGGGTATGGGCTTTGGATAAAGCATCTAAACCCTTTTGAGCAACTGAAGATATTTGGTATGACCACTTATGGATCATTAGACTGGTGTAAGTCTAAGGTTTTGGAGGTAAAGGCGACAACTACATTGCTTACATGTGCTAAATGAGGGATATGAAGTGTGATTTTAGAATAGTATCTCCTACCCCAAGATCCTTCTAGAAAGGGGATATGATCGATGAAACTGTTCAACAACACTTGGTAAGAATTTACCCCTTACACTCTTAGGTTGTCAGCATTTTCAGTTTGACCAGAATGATTAACTGGCGGACAATCTAAAAATTTTCAAACATATTCAAAATATGATTTTCCCAAAATATCATCCCTTTTAACTACTAAATAAACTATTATATGCATGAAAAGTAAAAGGGCTTTAAATACAAAATTATGAAACTCCATAGGTTTATCATCTTGATTAGGCTAGAGCATGCTCTCCTGAGATTATTTGACTGGTAAATTCTGTCCAAGGTTGGGAACATAAACCAGCTTTGAGCCCCCACCATTACCGGTCCCCTACCATTACCAGTTTTACATTTAGCCTGATCTTTCATATGTGGCTACGGGTTTTATTTTTCTTGCTCGTGCTTTCATACAATTAGTTCTCCTCGTATTGGATTTTGGTGCTTTTCTCGCTTTCATTTTCTCGCAATTTACTTAAAATTCATGCAATTATACCATGCGTTATGATACTAACCATGCAGCAGTAGAAAAGACCCAGGTACGCTCACTTAGATAATTACAACAATTTCACTACAGCTTTTTACTACCCTTTTACTTTCACTTTTATAATCACAAGACTTCTATGATAGAAAATAATAGTTAGTTTACCTAGGGTGGATCATTGCAAAACCTAAACAAATACCTTTTAATTAATTTGATTAACGATAATTGAAAGAAAAACATAAGACATAGAATATTAAACCTGGAGAAGCTATCAACAAGGAACTTGGAGCAACCTGAAGCAGATGGAGAACGATACTCTACAACAGCAAAACAGATCTACTCCAACTAAACTTTCCCTAAAATTAAACAATAAGCCATAGGACTTCGAGGTAGCTCATATAGCACAATGTAAATCCTCAATTTATCTTTAGGCTTTTGCATAGCCATGTTGTGCAATCTAAATCCTAACTGGCTTTAGACTCTGAGGTTATCGTTCATTACAATATAAACTCTCTTATCTTCCAGGCTATTTGCATAATTGGATATTATGCAGATGTAAGCCTTAAATAATAAAACTGACAAGATGAAAATATCAAATAACATATTCTCAAAGTTGAAGCTACACAATATAATAGTTTGGGAAGTCACCGAGGTTATCCTCAGTATCGTGACATTCCCTACTTTTCTTCCTAGGGTTCTTAAAATTAACAGCTTCTATTTTGATCCATTCCCCATTTGATTTTCCATGCCCGACCTTGAAACTCAAAGCTTTGAGATTCTTGAAGATAAATACCTCTTATCTAAATCGATAGTTTTCATTTTGTAATTAACTATAGGGGTTTGACTCTATAGAGAGCTTTAAGAACCCATATAATAAAAAATCTATCTAATCGTTATATTAGATAGGAGAACTTATCGGTCACCATAAAAAAGTTTTGCAGACCATACAGACGTCATGAATTCATTAGTTTATTTAATCGAGCCCCACAATCTAGTAATGCGTCTATTCTTCGATGGGTGCATTGCTCGTGGTGTTGTGCTCATTTATAAAATGAATGAGATCATGTTAGTCTCATTTTTCAAACACACACACACACACACACACACACACACACACACACACACACACACACACACACACACACACACACACACACACACACACACACACACACACACACACACACACACACACATATATATATATATATATATTAAATTTAATCCAAAGCAAGAATTTTCAAAAGAGGAATATTTGGCGACCGACAATTTTTTGCAACTCAGCTGGGGTCAAGCTCTTCTATCCATTATGATCAGGATGTTTTTGTGTTCATACATTGACAATGTGTCCATGCCCCTCATGGTCCAAATTGTCACTCTTCCGTTGACATGCTTCACTCATTTCTTCCTTGGGTAGGCACAGTTAACTCTTCCTCGATTGCAGGACCATTTATTTAACCATCCTTAAACAGAGGAGTTTGAGAATTTTTAGGGTCTCGTGTGAGGTCGAACCCCCAATAGGTGTGTATGCTAGGTTTGTTGTGAAGTCAGCCCTGTATTGGATCCTGAATTTCACTTTTACTCTGTGTCTCTTGGGTTCGACTTTCTATTAGCAAATTCAACCCAATCTTTACTTTTGTTCTTTTCGGTTAAACATCGAAGCCAAGCAAACTCCTTTAAACCATACCGTCAATAAAATATGAAAGCCAGGCTCTTAATAAGACGAAAATTTCAAAACAAAATAACAGAATCCAAAAACAATACATAAATTAAACTCAAAATAAAAAAAAATTGCCCAGTTCAGAGGACGGCTTTTGCTGATTTTACTATTTTTGCTAGAATTGCGAAGTATAGGTCGTTACTCTCTCATAACTTTTCAACTAAGAGCTGCGATGACATCACCAAAGTTGATCTTTTCATTCGATGGAAACCTGCCCCATGACAAAACCACACTCCACCAGGGAGCGATGATAAAGTTTGGTACCGGCTTCGACGATGTCGAAGTCATCCTCGAAAAACGCCATATGTGATCATGAAGACTATCCCGCCGAAGATAGCTGAACTCGCCGCTGAATATGATCTAAACGATAAGTCTGATTTCCTTGAAATCAAGAGGCATATAATCAGGGAGGCCTCCGTTAAGCCTGTTGCCCCCATACCCTATGCGAAGAAGTGTTGTCACTACTACTGCCACTGGATTCGTCGTCATCTCGCCAATCGTTCCGTCTGTCGAAGGAAAAAAAAATTATGTATGAAGAAGATTTTGATCATGTGTTTGCGCCTGTTCGGTCAGTGTTCGAGATTGGGACTAGCTCGAGAAGTGTGTCGTTGACTAGGGCACAGAGAAAAAACCGCAATTGAAAAGTTCGTAAAGCAGTAAAAGCCAAATCCAATACTCCGTTAAATTAAATTTTCTTATTTTTTGTCTATTTTTCCTTGTGTTCGGCCTTCTTTCTAGCATAAATCCAAATTTATTAAATTCAATTCGTTCAGTGTTCGAGATTGGGACTAGCTCGAGAAGTGTGCCGTTGATTAGGGCACAGAGAAGAAACCGCAACTGAAAAGTTCATAAAGCAGTAAAAGCCAAATCCAATATTCCGTTAAATTAAATTTTCTTATTTTTTGTATATTTTTCCTTGTGTTCGGCCTTCTTTCTGGCATAAATCCAAATTTATTAAATTCAATTCGTAATGAATTTATGAGATTTATTCTCTATAAATTTCCTTAAAAATGAATTTAATAAATTAGAATTTAATGAATATTATTTAATCCTAGCACAAAATTACTATTAAATTGTTGGAAGGGTACATTCGAGGCATTGGATTAGATAAATAATTGATTTAGAGCCTTGGACTAAATAATTGACCAGCCAAGGGGAGCAGCTCCCCCGAAGGAACCAAAAGCAGTTTCATGATCCATCGCATGTTTCGCTGCTGGGACGAGCAAAATGCGCAGGGAAAGCGCGATTTTACAGCCATCCAAAATTCCGCAAATCAGTGAAGAAATCTAAGCTTGAGCCCTAAATACCACAATCCGTTTTCAATTGAAGGGTTTTGATGCCGTTCGATCGCTCGATGCCATCTATATGGAAGAATTATGTCCCCATTCTCTCCGATCTTTGTCCTTAACCGCTGGTGCAGTTGCTTTCTTCCTGTTTTCATTTCTCTGGGCCCTCCGGTTCCGCTTCCGCAGATTCAGGAAAAAGAAGATGGAGTGCGATTGCTCTTGCTCTTGCGGCAGCGATGGTGGTGGCGCTGCTGGGAATAGTAGAGGGGAGACTAGTTCGGCGTGGGCAAGCAGGGATGTTGCCGGAAAGGATAAGGCGGCGGCGGAGAGGCATAGCGGCGCGTCTATGATGGAGCAGCTTGTTCCGGAGATCACTACGCATGCTTTAAGTTATTTGGACCATACTAGCCTTTGCAATCTCTCAATGACGAATTCAGCGATGCGGAGGGCTGCTAACGATGACAATGCCTGGAAGGCATTGTATCACAAGGTTTTCTTTCTATTTCCGATTTACCTGATGAGTTCAAGTGCATACATGTTACGTTTAGGTTTTCTGGTTCTAAAATGTTTTCGGATGATTTTTCATTTTATTTTTTGCGTCTTCCTGGTTTAACAGAATTATACGTGTGAGGGATTGCAACTCATTTCGTTGCATCAATTTCTTAATTCATTTTTTTAATTATTTTTTTGGTATTTGAAAAAGGAAGGGAATGAGCTCTTATATTTGCCCTGTTGATCCTCCTGCAGCGTTCTGATCTACCAGGACTTTTGTGGTTTTCCCGGAATCTAATAGTTGTAGAAATAGAAGGATGTGTGATTTCCAAACAAAATTTTCGCTCTTGTTAGAGCAATCCATGATCACCATGGAAGCCTTTATTAGGTTTTTGGAGCGATTGTGATGGTTAAGCTTCAAACTATGTAGAGATGATAGGAGAATCGGAAATGGCTGGGTGAATTATCAACTTTTCATTTAGAAAGTTAGAGCATATTTTACCCAAGTTTAGGCCAAATAAAACACCAACAATTGTAATGAACTAATCTACCTAAATGGCTTTATCAAAACTTAATTGACATAAGAAGTTGAGTTATTATAAAAAATGGCTTGAAAATATAATTGCCTTTGGATAGTTTTAACTGATCTTTACCATTGTTCATTGTATTTAAGTATATAACTTTTCCTCCCCCCTAATCATTTTGTAATTGGATGGTAATGCAACCATAGTTATTGATAATGTTAGATGTAATATTTACGTCAGTGTTTTGTTTGAAAATGTTTAAAACTAATTTACATCTAGTTCATAGACAAATTTATATTTAATGCAAGAGTTTAATAACTTATTAAGTTTGATCTGATTTTCTTGGATTCAATACCAAACAACTATTTAGCTTTTTATTATTTACTGAGTAGCCATCATCAATGTGCCAAGCATATTAGTTTGATTTAGCTTAATGATGCTAACTCAACTTGATGTTTGTGGTAGAAAGTGGATTTATTATAAAATGGCTTGAAAGAGACCAGGGTAGTTTTATTAATTTTTTTACCAGAACACATTGTTTTCATCCCAAAAGTTTCCTTCCTCATAATAATTTTGTAATTGGATGTCCAGTCTAACTTATTGCTAAGGTGAATATTGTACTCTATGAGATATTTCTATTCTAAAAGTTTAAAACTATAAATTACCTCTATTTAAAGCAATAATAAATTTCAAGGAGTATTGAAACATCTTTTCTATTGATTGGCAAACATGTGTGAGATCAATTTATTATATAGTAGGGTTAAATTTTGTCTTTTTTTTCTCTAATACTAAAATGTTTTGGGTTTTTAACAATTTTTTAGTAGCTATCATCATTTGCATCTCAACCACATTAGGTACATTGATATGGAAGAAACAATGCTTAGCTAATGGCACATGGATTCGAGTTAATGAATAATCTTTCATTGCTGGATATCCTTGACCTATAAGATTTCATATGAATAGGATCAATATTTTAATCACTCGGAATGTCAGGGAAAACTATAGTTATTGAGGCCTAGCCAAAGATGAAGAGGTCGAGATTTAATGTAAGATGTATAAATATTAAAAGTAGGATGGATTGTTTAAGAAATGGTTGTATTATGAAGAGTATAGGTGTTTATCCTATTGAAAGTGTTGGCTGTAAAAATGAAAAAGGTGATTTTAGCATGAGGGAGATGGAATTGATGTATTGGAATTAAAAGGAAGAAGGGGATTTGAAGTAGTGTGTTTAAAATTTTTGAAGAAAAAAAAACTACTAGGATAATCTTAGCACTATGTACGAATGCTAGATAAGGTTGAATGATATGAAGAAGCTTCATGAAGATGGCACTTAATAGTTGGGATGATGACAAGGGAGGTTACAAACTAGTTTTGTAAAATTGGATCAATTGTTTTAAAGGAAATGATGAAAAGATTAATTAGCAACATGATTTTGGAAAAGCGCAACATGATCTAATCAACGATGGCAATTTAAGTCCATTTTTTTAGAAGAGATACTTGTCATGAGATATTAGGTTTCTTATTTAGGCTATTTTAGCCATGATAAGGGGATTAGGAGGAGATGTAAACATGAGATAGAGAGGTGAGGGGACCTAATGCTAAGTTATTGTTAAAGGGGAATATGAGTAAAGACAACTGCAAGTTTTATGTTGTAAGAGGGTAGAAGGTGTTTAGTCCAATCGCGGTGAAATTTGTAGATAAAGGAAGAGGGATTGGAGCCATGTAAGCGAGGGGTAAGGGCTGGAGAGAAGTAAGGATTAAGAGAAATTACAATACCTTATTGTCAAAATACCAACCATCTTTTCATAAGTTTTATAACTTCTTATATGGTGTAAGAGATTAAGCTCAAGAGGTTTAGAAAGAAAAATTGATTAGCCCTAAGGCTACATGAAATTTATAGGGGTTGCTAGTTCACAATCTAGAATAACCTGACAAATATAAGAATGTCCATATTCTCAATTTTCCTAAAGCAAACAAGAAAATAAATATCGGTAGGCTTCTTTGAAATGGATTGTATTTGAGTCTTGATGTCTTTTGATAATTCGTCTATTACTTGAGATTCAAAGAAATTTTTATCGAAGTGTTCAAATGGAGGCCACAACGGAATAGTGAAGGAGTAACGCCATCCTTGATGGAATGCAGAAAAGAATCATAGGTGAGCATCTCATTTATTAAAATTTTAGAACATAATGTTATTTTTTTTCTTTTTTTTTTGCTTTTAATTGTATATTCTTGAATACTGTCATTGTTGAGTCCTAAGCTTCGGGTGTTTTAGAACATAATGTTATTTTTTTTCTTTTTTTTTTTGCTTTTAAATTATATTCTTGAATACTGTCATTGTCGAGTCCTAAGCTTCGGGTGTGAAAAGTGGAGGGTTGTGTTAGGTAGTCAACAAACAACATAAAATTTGTTGAAAAATCATTACATGAATCTTCTTGATTATTGTGTAAATGCTAGGGCGTTCTCTAGAAGTGACGTGTTGTATGACCTGAATATAGTGAAAAGTAAGCAATGATCGCTACATCGGCTCCCGAATGTTGTGTAAAATAAGGGTCTCACATTACAGATAAATACATTTAAAGAAGTTAGTTCATGAAACTAATATTAGGACAAGATCTTGAAATATAGGTACTCTCACATGTAAATTAATGGAATTAGTTGATATTATGACTCATAGAAAGATAAATATCATATGCATTCAAGAAACTAAATGGGTTGGAGAAAAGACTAAGGAGATTGATAGCTTAGGTTTTAAAATTATATATTCAGCTAAAAGTCGCATTAGAAATATTGTAGGTGTAATTATAGATAGGAGTTTGAAAAATTAATAGAATTAGAGATAGAATTATTTCCCTTAAGATTGTTGTTGATAATAAGATTTTTAATATTATAAGTGCTTATGCTTCTCAAGTAGGTTTAGATATAGGTTCCAAAGAAAAATGCTGGAATGATCTAGAAGAATTAATACAAATAATACCTCTTGAAGAAATAATTTTTATTAGATGAAATTTAAATGGGCATGTCGGTAGACTGGTAGAAGATTTTAATAATATTCATGGTAGCTACGATTTTGGAGTGATTAATGAAGAAGATAGAGCTATATTAGAAATTGCTTTATAATTTTATTTTAGCTTATGATTTTGTTATTATTAATACTTTATTTAAGAAAAGAGATAAACATATTATTTCTTATAAGAATGGATATAATAGAACATAAATTAATTATTTTCTTATGAGAAGAAGAGATCATCAAAAATGTAAAGATTGTAAGGTCATTTCTAGTGAGAATTTAAATATCCAACATGGATTATTAATTCTGGATTTTAAGATGAAGAGTTGTAAAATAAATAATACTTAGAACTATTGGCATGAAATTTAGATGGGGCCACCTAAAAGACAGAAATAAAATTATTTTTATGATTAAACTTCAATATTTTGAGATTTCGGATGTTCATAATGAAGTAAATTTTATTTGAGATAAAGTAACAAACACTATTAAACAAGTGACAAAAGATGTACTTGGAGAATCAAAAGAAAAAAGAATTTATTAAAAAAAAAGTTGATGGCGGAATAAAAATGTGTAAGAAAAGATAAAATATAAGAAGTTATTTATAAAAATTGGTCTAAATGTAAAAATTTATAGAAATGGGAAAATAATAAAATGGTTCGTAGGGAGTCTAAGAGAACAATCTGTGACGCTAAAATTTCTACTTTTAGTGATCTTTATAATAGACTAAATACTAAAGAGGATGAAAAATATATCTATAAACTAGCAAAATAAAGTGAAAAAAAAGTAAGTATTTAACTTATGTAAAGTGTATTAAAGATAAAAATCAGAAGGTGTTGTTTCTAGAAAAAGATATTTAACATAGACAGTGAGTTGTTTTGATAAACTTTTCAATGAAGATTCTGAAATTCGATCGAATTTAGTGATCTTAATATCGTTAATAATAATAAAATATATTATTTTTACTATTGCATTAGTAAAAAAAAAGTTGATGAGACTATAAAGAAAATCAAGGGTGGAATGTAGGACCAGGTGATATCTCAATTAAAGTGTTCAAATTTTTAGGAGATTTGAGAGTTTTTTGGCTTGCTAAACTCTTTGATATTATTTTAAAAACTAAAAGGATTCTTGAGGAGTGGAGAAAGAGTATTCTGGTCCCCATTTTTATGAATAAAGGAGATGCGCAAGAGTGTGCAAATTATAGAGGAATTAAGTTGATTTGTCATACTTTAAAATTATGGGAGAGTGTAACTGAACATAGGTTAAGATATATTACAAATATTTCTTATAATCAGTTTGGATTTATGTCGCGCAGGTTGACTATATAAGCTATACATTTATTGAGAAGTTTGATAGAGAAGTGCAGAGAGAATAAGGATGATCTACATTTGATTTATATTGCTTTAGAAAAAAACTTACGGAAGGTTCCAAGAGATATCCTTTAGAGAGTTCTAGAGAAAAAAGATG